GTTCCAGTAGTTTTTTGATTGAATCTCTTGGGTTTTCTAGGTATAGGATCATATCATCAGCAAATAGGGATAGTTTGACTTCTTAAGGAGAAGATCTTGATTCCTTTCCCCAGTAGTAGTTTTTTTCAAATTGAAATATAATTCACATATCATAAGATTCATCCTTTTAAAGTGTACAATTCGCTGATTCTTGTATATTCACAAAGTTGTGCAACCATCACACTAATTCCACAACGTTTTCATCACCCAACAGACCCTGGACCACTAGTAATCACTCACCTTTCTCCTTTCCCCTTTCTCTGGAGGCCGCTGCTCCACTTTCTGTCTCTACAGATTGGCCCAGGAGCACTTTTTAATTTGAGTCAGATTATTTAACTTCTTTTTGCGTTATTTTTTCATCTCAAAATAAAGTTTTTACTCTACCTTGCAGTTTTGGGGTGAAACTTTTCAAAGTCAAAATACTTTTAAAAAATTTTATGTATTGATTTATTTTTATTTTGTTGTTGAGAATATATAGAGCAAAACATACATGAATTCAGCTGTTCCCAAATGTACAATTTAGTGACATTGATTTACATTCCCAAAGTCAAAATTCTTTGAACTAAAGACATAGGTACTAAAATTAAAAAATAATTTTGAAAAGGAATTATTTTTCAAATCTTCCAAATTTGTATACTTTTGTATACCTTTGTATACTACATTTTTACACAAATAATGCATGCATAATGCTAGAGGTTTTTACTTAATTTCAGAATTTCTGCATGTTTTATGTGCCGGCTCATTATTTACATGGGTATGTTATTTGTGAAAAAATACAGTATTCCCTCTGTTTACCCTAATGCCTGAAACATGGAGCACTCAGCTTATTTATACCCATTTGCACTTCTGTCTTGCAGATGGATGCGGCAGATAGAAGTTGCACAGTGTCTGTGCACTGTAGCAACCATCGTGTCAAAATGTTGGTGAAGTTCCCTGCACAGTACCCAAACAACGCGGCCCCTTCCTTTCAGTTTATTAACCCCACCACCATCACATCCACAATGAAAGCAAAACTGCTAAAGGTGAGGATTTTGTTCACAAATTTTCCACGATGTGTACCAGAAGAGCTCTGCTTTGGTCATCGTCATCTAATTTGAGTAGTAAGGTTGAATGAAAACTCTGATAGAAGAGATTGGGAAGTCATCTACTCTTAACCCACTGCAGCGTTAGAAGTATAAGTCTTGCGCCTACCATACACCTTGTGTAGAAAACATTAGAGTGGTAGTTCTTAACCTTTCTTGGGTTATGGATCCCTTTGAAAGTCTAAGTCTAATGAAAACTATGGACGGTCAGACAGATTCTGCCAAAATTTGGCATGTAATTTTCAGAAGGTTCAAAGTTCTCATTAAAGCTATCCATTAACTCCCAGTTAAGAACGCTGTAGTTCTATTTTCTTTGATCTGGAAATAGTAGTGGAATCCTGGGTGGTGCAAACAGTTAACATGCTTTACTGCTAACCAGTGTCTAAGGCATCTCTGAGTGCTAGCCAGAAGGTTGTTGGTTCACACCCACCAGCCACTCCATGGAAGCAAGACTGGATAATCTACTTCTGTAAAGATTTACCGCCTCGGAAACCTGACAGGGGTTGCTGTGAGTTGGAATCAACTCGATGGCAGTTTTTTTTTTTTTTTTTTGGTTTAAAAGGTTGGTTGGAGGTTCAAATCGACCCAGAGGCACCTCAAAAAAAAATCTTGGTGATCTACTTCCAAAAACTGAAACTGTATGGAACACAGCTCTTATCTGGCACATACCAGGTCACCATGAGTTGGAATTGACTTGACAGCAATTAGAAGAAAAAATAATAGGCAAGGTGTGTTCTGAACTCATTTTTTTGGTAATAAAAAAATGTGTAAGATTTTTATTTTTTTAATATATTGTTAAAAATCCATTCAATGAGAGGAGGCAGTGGTATCCTAGAATGAGACTGGCTGACTGTGCAGGAAGGAGATAAAGGACAGTGGCACTTGAGTGGAGGCTGTACAGCCTTAAACCTGGTCTTCAGCCCTCCAGGTTCAGAAGGCTGATCTGTCAGTTCATCCAGAGCTAATCGGACAAAATCTCCGTAGGAAAAGCACATGAGCTTGGGGATGATCTGCTGTCTCAGCTGAGCACTGTCGTATGTGGAATAACTGTGAATATTAAGCCTGAATATTGCTCATGCTTTGCTTGGTTTGGATCATGTACACTTGGTTGCTCCATCTTGTTGGGACATCATATGTAACCAAAAAACTTCTCAAGTAGCTTAAGGATCTCTGAAATGCTCGTCAGATTGTGTGGTATTTGACATTTTGTGTTTGGAATCTGGATATTTCACTGCCTAATTTGAATATACAAAAAAGATAGATTTTTCTGTTGGTATAAAAATGATGAGGTTAGGCAGTATCTTTAAAAGTCTAATTCCATGCTCTTCAATAGAAATATCATACAGGCCACATGTAATTATAAATTTTCTAGTAGCCACATTTAAAAAAAAAATAAGAGGTAGCTGGTAAATTTTAAAAAAATAAAAGCCCTGGTGGCGCAGTAGGTAAGCATTCAGCTGCTAACTGAAAGGTCAGCAGTTTGAACCCACCAGCTGCTCTGCAGGATGAAGATTTGGCGGTCTGATTCTGTAAAGATCATAGCCTTGAAAACCCCATGGGGTCGTTTCTGCCCTGTCCTATAAGGTCGCCATCAGTCAGAATCAACTTGATGGCAGTGGGTTTAGCAGGTAAATAAATTATAATAATATTTTATTTAATCTAGTATATCCAAAACATTATCCTATGGAGTATAGCCAATATACTGAGATATTTTATATTCTTTTTTTTTCTTTTTTGTGCTAAGTCTTTGATTA